CCACTGACTACGGATCTCAAAGGCCATCTAATTATGGTCTTGAGTGCTTTAAACAATCTGTGTTACATTTACATATCTATATACTCCGCATTTACAGATTTATAGACTTTTCATTTTCATAGTTCCTTCCACACCCTTCTCTAGGAAAAAGAGATGGTGTTCCCTAAAGAGATTTCCAGTGCCCTTCTTTGGACACTTGTCTATAAAGCCGGGGAAGTGGGGACTGTATGGTCTGGCTGGCTCCTGGGGAGGACCACGCCTCCCCTGGCGCCCACACAAGGCACACATCCCTCTGTCTCACGCTGACAGCAGCAAAGCAAAGCAAGCAGCACATGACCTTCAAAGGACGGGGTAGGCTCTTGCTGACCTGTTTGAGGCTGGGGGAGGCCCTCATTCCCCCGTGGGACCGCATGTGGCCATTCAGGGCAGGCAGGCTTTTGAACTCCTTCAGGCAGATGGAGCAAGTCAGCTTGTTCTTGGCATCAAACTGTTCCCCAAACGCTCCTTTGGTTGGACCACTGCTGAAGGGTAGGGCCACATGGGAAGAACACACACATTGAGGAGGGGAAAGACAAATTTATCACAAGGCTTCACACCTACAATGCACCCATTTTATTTATCTAATCTTCCATTGTCCAAGGCCTTAATATATCCTCTAAAGAACTAAGGCCAATGTACAGATGGAAAAACTGAGGCTCAGACGGAGCAAGGGTGTTCTTTCTTTAAAAAAGTAAAATTTTAAATTAGGTTTATTTTGTGTGTGTGTGTGTGTGTGTGTGTGTGTGTGTGTGTGTGTGTGTGTGTGCGCGCGTGCACACACGCGTGCACCCTAGTGCATGTGTGGAAGTCAGAGGACAACTTGGAGTCAGTTCTCTCTCTCCTTTCACTATATAGGTCCCAGGGTTCAAATTCAGGTCATCAGGCTTAGCAGTAAGCACCTCTACCTGCAGGGCCATCTCACTGGCCTGGGAGGGGCTTTCTCTCCTTTAAAAAATTACAAATATATGGTGCGTGTGTATGAGTGTTTCAATTGCTTGTATGTATGTGCATTGTGTGTGTGCCTGGTACCTGGGGAGACCAGAGGGTCTGGTCCCCTAGAGCTGGAATTATAGGCACTTGTGAGCTACCTCGTATGGGTGCTGGAACCCCAACTCTGGTCTGCTGCAAGACCAGCAAGTGCTCTTTATTGCTAATCCGTCTCCCCAGCAGAAAGGGCTTTCCTAAAATCCTGTCACACAGGACACCCCCCCATCTTTCCAGCCCTTCAGGCATTTGATCATCCTCAGCTTTCAATGCCCACCCACCGTGGGCACGAGAGCCTGTACTCTTCGCCGCCACACGCCCAAAGCCCAGCGCTAACCCTGGTACACAGAAGGCACTCGCTAAGCGCTCAGTGGTTGAATAGCTGAAGAACAGAGCACAGGCTTGGGAGCCTTTGGCCATTACTGCTCCTTGCTTCAGATGTACCTTCAGTTCTGAGCCCAGCTTTCCAGAACAAGAGAGCGGTAGCTGACGAGAATCCAGGGCTGGCAACTGACGGCACCCGACAGCAATGTCTGCCTCACTGCGGGTTTACTTTACTTGACACATGGGTTAAGCACACAGTTAAGTGTTCAAACACAGCTGCTACTGCTGTTCCTATACTTTCTTTGAAACATTGGCCTTGAATTTATAAATGAGTCATTTATACAACCCAGAAAACTCACAGCCTCCCAAATATCCCAAACCTTTGAGCGTACCTTGATTCCGGGGACCCTGGCTGGGTTCTCCCATCAGGTAGGTGCATCTAATTTTGAGCCAAACAGGACACCGAAAGAAAACAAGAGAGAAAAACAAACATGTATGTCTAAAGGGAGGACTCTCAAGAGGTCTGAACACCAGGATCCACCCTTCTAGAACTTTCTCTGCTCATGACCCTGCACGTCTACTCATGCCTTTATTCTGCATCTGATTTCTTTTCCCTACTTCCTAAATAAGGACACGACCTCCTCTATCCTCTTTATTCTGTCTGCATCTACTCTGCACTAACAGGGTCTATCTTTCCATGTTGGGCCCTGGCCTCCGTTTTGGGGGAGCTGTTGCCTTGCTCGCTGACCTTGACCAGATGTCCTCCCTATGCTAATTCCCTGACGGTTTCCTTCCTCCTAAACAGCTCACCGAAGGTTCCTTGTTTGCGTATCCTGCATATTGGTGTAATGCTAGAATGTAAAACATCTGTAGCGAACTTTTGCCCTCCCAGGTTCTTCCACTGTACTGTAAGTCTGTATTTAAGGTCTCCTCCCTCCTTCAATAAAGGGCATTCTACTGAGACCAATGACCCGCTGTCTTGTCTCTCTTTTTAATCCTCAGCCTCTCGCTCGGACATGGTGAACGGGTAGTAACGCGGGCGTTGCTACACTTCCAAAGGACAGGGAGGAAATGGGCGCACAGCGTCATTCCGGGAGACCGGATAGAACAACAACAAAAACCTTTGTGTATATGAGTGCATGAACAGTGTGTGTGTGTGTGTGTGTGTATGTGTGATGGGGGAGCACACATGTGCATAGTGTTTGTGCAGAGATCAGAAGACAAGCTGTGTCTTGGGGAATACTCCAAGGACAGAGATCCAATGGGGGTGAGAAGTTCTCACTATGTGGTTGTCTCTGATCTAGACAATTGTGCACATATGTTTGCATGTGTTCCTGTGCATTTGGTTATGTATGCATATGTGGGCCACATGAGTGGAGGCCAGAGGTCAGCTTTGGCTGTTGTTCTCCGGGTACTGTCCACATGGCTAATTTTGTTACATTTATTTATTTATTTAATTTATTTAATTAATTAATTAATTTATTTATTGTGTGTGTATGTGTTGCCACAGCACATGTGTGGAGGCCAAAAGACAACTTGTGGGGGTCAGTATTCTCCTTTCTCCACGTGGGTCCTCGGGGGATGGAGCTCAGGTCCTCGGGCATGGCAGCAAGTGCCTTTACCCTCTGAGCTATCGCGACAGCCCGACTTGTCATTTTGCTTACTGGCTTGGAACTCTGTAAGTAAGCTAGGCTAGCTGGTCAGTGAGCCCCAGGGACCCTCTGGTCTCTGCCTCCCCGGGGCTGGGATTGTAGGCACATGCTGCCTAGCTCTGCCCTGCATCCCAAGATGGAACTGAGCCACCCTCTAGCCCGACTCTAGGTCTTGATCATTACATCAACCATTTAGGACATACTACAATACTCTCACCACCTCATGACAAACCCTCAGGCCAAGGACCGAATCCATATTGATTCTGTATTCCAAGTGCCCGGCACAGACAGTGCCTGGCACATGTAGGTTAGCATTTGAGAAATGTATAAAGAACGGAAAGAATGAAGGTTGGGGAGAGAAGTGGGCACTGCCAAGACTCATGCCTGTTGCACATGCAGATATGGGGAGAAACTTCGACGCTGAGATACCTGGGGCCACATCGAACTGGGAGACGGCTGCTGATGCTGAGGCCCCATGTTGTTGAGGTGGATCCCACTGGGGGACAGGAGCGGTTGGTGAGGAAGGGTACTGCCAACTCGGGTCATTTCTGAGCTTGCGGGGTCTGCCACGCCTGTATCAGGAGGCCCCATGTCCCCATGGGAGCTCAGCATCGCTGGAGTCTGCCTGTCACTAGAATACGTCTTCAACTGACTGTCTTCACGCTGCTGGTGCTGGGACAGGTGGCTCTGTTGGTAGAGGGGGTGGCTGTAGGGCTGCTGAGGCTCCTGGTAGTAATACTGGGGCATGGAGCCCAGCTGGATCAGCTGGACAGCATGCGCCTGCTCCGGGGTATACTGATGAGGGTCCCTGTGATACGAAGGGGGCTGCAGGTGCATCGGGGGCTGCTGCTGCTCTTGCAAGTGTTGCATCATGGGTTGGGGCTGATAATACTGAGGTATCTGCAGTGAACCCTGCCGCTGCTGCAGTTGGAGCTGCTGCTGCTGCTGCTGCTGAGGCTGTGGGGGGCGAATCTGCGGCTGTGGTTGCTGCTGCATTTCTTGCATTGAGATCCGCTGCAGCCCGGCTTGCTGCTGCTGAGGCGGTGGCTGTGGGTAATACTGGTGCTGCTGCATTGGTTGCATATGGCTGGACAGCACCTGAGAGGCTGGCAGTGGCTGTCCTCCTTGCATTGGCATCTGGGCCAGGGGCTGCTGGTAGTCATAGTACAGGTGCCCTTGCGGGGCATGCTGCCCGACCGGAAGGGCCGGTTTGGGCAGTCCACCTGTGAACCCGGGGTGAGGCTGCTGGGGCACCTGCTGGTAGCGGGAAGCTATAGCAGATGCGGAGGGCTCCACGGGCTTCTGAGAGAGCAGCTGACGAAGGGCGCTGTCCGAGGCTCCATCCATCACTGCTGACTGGGTGTGCAGCACCTGGGCCATGTTATTGACCTGAATTCGCAGGTTTTGGTTGGCAAACACCTGGGTGAAAGAGTCCAGCTTGTGTAAAACACCACTGGTGAGTTTCTGGGTCCGGATCTCACTGGCCTGGGAATAAGTGTATTGGTAGCCATCAGTGGGCTCTACCTGGCCCGGGGCCCCCCACATCATGTTTGAGTTGGCCAAGTTGCTACGAAGCTGGACGTGGTTCCCAGGCCCTGCATGGCTTCCCCATCCTCCCTGCCTGGAGGTATCCATTTGGCCAAGGTTTTTGGAGCCAATTGGCAAACCCAGACTATCCCGAGTATCTTGAGGGAAGTGAGGCGAGATGGGCGAGGCCTGCGGGGCATCCATTCCAGCCCCTGAGATTGTATTCCCATAGCTGTGGTTCAGCCCGCTGTGGACACCGAGGGGTGGCTGTTGATAGAAGAGGTTCTCACCACCGTGGGCCACGTGGTTGGTCTTGTACAGCTGCTGGTCCCCCATGATGTCTTCTTGGTTATGAATGTTCAGCCACAAAAAGGAAAAAAAAAGGAAATGAAGAAAATAAAAAATCCTGAAACCCTGAGAAGATGAGAGAAAGTGTGCACCCTACTCCACGGCTGACATGTCTGTGAGGGTGGCTGGAGGCAGGGGTTCGTGTTGGCTTGAACCATTCATCTGCAGAGCTGAGGTGTCTACATCCTCCCCCGGGCTGAGGTATGGACCAGACACCACCGTGGTGGGGAAATGTTGTTCACACCTGGAAGACAGGATGCAGAGGACAGAATTATTTCCCTGGACGTTTCCTGACAAGCCATTATATATATGTGTGTGTGTGTGTGTGTGTGTGTGTGTGATTATTTATAAAAGGTGAGTGCGGGGAGGGCGAGGGCACTGGGTCAGCAGGGGAGGCACTGGCTGCTAAGCCTGATAACCTCAGTTCAAATCCAGGGAGCCACATGGTGCGTGTGGTGCGCATACACACATGCAGCGAGTGTAAGTGTCCGAGTATGTGCAGATCAGAGGACACTGGATGACCTGCTCAATCACCTCCCACTTATTTATTCCAAGGTCTCTCAATGAACCTTGTATTAGTGCCCAGCAAGTGCCGATGATCCCCCCACTACGCCACCCCCAGGGCTGCGTTACGGCCAGAGAGCCACACCTAGCTTTTTATATGGGCGCTGCAGAGTTTAACTCAGAGCCTCATGTTTGTCAGCAAGTGAGCCACCTTCCAGGCCCTCCCCCTCCAGTTCCATTCTTCAGTCATTTTCCAACTGGGCCACGAGTCTCTGTGAGCACAGGGGCTTTGCAGGCACTGCGCACGCGCCCCAGTTCTCACATTCCCGAATGCCCCCAGAAGGGCTCCCCTAGAACTGAGATGAGAGAGGTACAAGGGGATCTTTTCCATCCGCCCTCCTGTTTCACCTGCTCCATCGAAGATGTCGATCGGATTCATTATTTACTTATTTATTTACTGTGTGTGTATGTGGGTGGGAGCATACACGTGAGCGAGCATTCAAGAGTTCCTGTGCCACGGCATGTATGGAAGTCAGAGGACAGCTTGCAGAGGTCAGCACTCTCCTCCCACCACGTGGGTTCTGAAGCTCGAACCTGGATCATCAGGCTTGGCAGCAAGCTCCTGTACCTGCTGAGACACCTCACTGACCTTTTTTGTTTCTAATTCTTTTCATATTCCATGCGGCTGGGGAGAAGGCTCAGTGGTTAAAGAGCACTCCCCATTCTTGCAGGACCCAAGGCAGGAAGTTTAAAGCCTCCTGTAACTCCATCTCCAGGGGGGTCTGATGCCCTCTTCTGGCCTCCTGGGGCATTTGCACACATGTACACACACACACACACACACACACACACACACACACACACACACAAAATAAATCTTACAAAAAAATCCCAAAGGAAGTTCTATGACGTTACGAAGTTGTCTTCTGACCCCAACAACGACGCCACAGCACGCACACCCATTCCCAAACACATTCACACAACAGTAAATAAGATTTAAAAGGAAGTTCTAAGATAAATAGTTAAATACAAATTTTGGGTGCTAGATCTCAATGTGATTTTTGGTATAGAATTCAGAAGCAGATCAAAGAGCTGAGTGGCTTGCTTTAACAACATGTGTGCTTAACAGAATGGCCTGGGGCTACAGCTCGGTCACATGCACAGAGACACTGGGACTGGGTTCCTGGCACCACACACAATGAACAGCAGTGAGGTTTTTTTTTTTTTGTTGTTTGTTTGTTTTTTTAAGACTTATTCCCTCATTTTTAAACTTATGCATATGTGTGTATGTAGCTGTGTGAATTTATGTGCATCATGTGCACACAGTGCCTGCTGAAGCCACGGACCACTGGGTGCCTGGCGCTGAAGACAGAGACAGACACAGAGACAGAGACACAGAGTGAGCTACCTGATGTGGGTGGTGGGAACTGAACCCAGGTCCCCTGGAAGAGCAGCAAATGCTCTTAACCACAGCCATCTCTTCCAGTCCTGAGGTTTCCCTTGATTGTTTTGTTAAAATCCCATGTTCCTCCTATCAAATATGAACAGTGGCTTTCTGGGCTTAAGTTTGGATAGATGGAAAACACTGGTCCTGCTCTCACACTAGCAATAATTAACCTTCTTAGATGTGTTTTTAATTATTTCTTATGTATGTATGCATGTGTTTATGCACACATGAAAATGAGTTTGTGGAAGCCGGAAGGAGACAGACCCTCTGGGGCTGGAGTGATGGGGGGGGTGGAGGGGGGCTATCTGTCCCCCAGCATGGGTGCTGGGGACTGATCTAATTTTCTGGAAGAGCAGGAAGTGCTCTTAACCACTGAGCTGTCTCTCCATAGTTTCACATAGCCCAGGCTGGCCTTGAGCTTGCCTTGTAGCTGAGGACGCCCTTTGGTTTCTGATCCTCTTGACTCCACCTGCTAAGCGCTGGGATTACAGGATGGAGACTCCTGCTTTACACAGAGTTGGTGATCAAACCCAGGGCCTGATCAGGCACACGAGGCAAACTACTAACTGAGTTATATTCCAGCCAGTGAAAGTTTATTTTTAAAAAGGCATTCAGTACCACTGTCCTGAGGTACATTTTCAATATAATTTTACTTTTACTGTTTATCATTTATCCGTTTGTTATACATTTATATGGTTTGATCAACTGTGTACTCTTAAAAATTGTAACTCAAACCAGAAGAAACTTTCAATATAGCTTCATGATTCAGGAAATGAAAAATGTCAACTTTATATAAAGTTGTTACAGACCAATAGGATGGGCCACAAACAAAAGAGCTTTAAACCTAAAAATATATCAAATTCCTGGAGGAAGTAAAATACAAATAAAATTTCAAGGAAAAACAGAGGACACTGTGTGTGTGTGTATGTGTGTGTGTGTGTGTGTGTGTGTGTGTGTGTGTGTGTGTGTGTGTTTTAAATGAGCAATGGGTGGGTATCAGATGGCTAGGGTGTTTAGATTCCATGGGGTAAATTCAAAAGTGATGTCATAGTTTCACTTAAAAATATCAATATTTATACTATGCTGGAAATCACATCTGCAGACATGATAAAAACTGTAGATGTAAACTTGGACACTAAGCTGGGTGTGGTGACACATGCTTGTAATCCCAGTGCTCAGAAGCAGGAGAATCAGGAGGCCTTTGGAGGCCATTCTGGGCTACATGAGATCCCGTCTCAAAAACCTAAGGAGAAGGAGTTTTACAAAGTTAATTTTGGGAAGATTTTTAAAGGGAAACACCTGGAGTTGACCCTGAATTTGAGGTGGAATGGAAAGTGAGGGGCAGTCACTGAAGGCTTCTCAGCAGATGCACAAAGGTGCTGGGAATGGGGGTGACGTGTTCCAGAAGCAGGGTCCCTCATCACCAGGGTGCTGGTTAGAAGTTTACAACCGGGGCTCTTGCCCAGACCTACCTGTCAACTTGACACAACCCAGAGTTACCCAGGAAGAGTTTGTCATTGAGGGATGGTCTACATTGGGTGGACTGTGGGCATGTCTATGGAGGACTGTCTTGGCTGACTGATGTGGGGAGACCCAACCACTGTGGGCAGCACCATTCCTTAGGCAGGGCTCCTGAACTGCACAAGCATGGAGAAGTCAAGAGGAACACAAGCATGCTGGGACATATAAGCATGCATGCTCTTGGCTGGATGTTGTGTGACCAGCTGTCTCAAGCTCCTGCCCCTGTGATTTTTCCCACAGTGATGGACTGTAACCTGGAACTGTGAACTAAAACAAACACATTTCTTCTCAAAGTTGCTCAATTTTTTTCCCTTTATTTTTATTTTATGTGTATGAGAGTTCTCCCTGAATGCACGCTTAGGCACCATTGTGTGTGATGCCTGTGGAGGCCAGCAGAGCGCATTGGATCCCTTGGGACTGGAGTTACAGACGGTTGAGAGCAGAATCGAACCCAGGTCCTCTGGAAGGGCAGCCAGTGTGATTAACCACTGAGCCCTCTCTCCAGCCTCTGTGACTTGCTTTTGTCAGGGTATTTTATCACAGGTATATTTACTACATCCCAAAACAGAAACTCCATTTTATGAAGGGATCCAGCTCTGACCAGGGGCTGGTGTGCACATCCACCAGAAAGAACTGACCTAGCCACATTCAGGTGAAGACTTGAACCCATGTAAGAGTGAGCATGGAGAGGCAGAGACAGGGAACCACTTCTGTAATTCTTGCCCTTCAGAGCCTTGTGCCCCAGTCTGAGGAGACACTCTACCTCTCCCAGGACAATCTTACCTGCCCCATTTCCCATGGGCTCTGGATCAGCTGCCAACTCCATCCACCACTGTCAAGTTCAAAGCAACTCAACCACATCTGTCACAGACTGGCTGACCTGACATGCTCTGTCCCCATAACAGGGCCTTGGGACATGCTGTCTCCCCATTATGAAGAGTTCTTCCTTTCCCTGGCCCCTCTCCAACTAGCCACTTGCCAGCTAGTGTAACTTTCAGCTACAATTCAAGCTACATTCAAGTCCAGCTGACCCAACCGCAAGTTTACATAAGGTTCCATTCTTTCTTTAAAGAAATGATTGATGTGGATGTGTCTGTGTCTAAGTATGTGCTGGTGGGTGTGTTCCCATGGAGGCCAGTAGAGGGCATCAGATCCCGTAGCGCTGGAGTTATAGGCAGTTGTGAGCTGCTCGATGTGGGTGCTGAGAGCCAAACCCAGGTCCTCCAGAGGAACAGCGAGCACTCTCGATGGCCGAGGCCTTCCCCAGCCCTTAGGCTGCTTTCTTGTATTTTGTCATGAAACTGTATTCTCCCTAACCAACCTCCATACCTCACCGGCGTCTCCTAACCGTCTGCTGTTTGTTTTCTGAGACAGGCTCTCATGTAGCCCAGGTTAGCTTTGAACCCATTATGTAGCCCATAATGCCCTTAAACTTATGATTCTGCTGCTACCATGACTGGTTTATGTACTGCCTGGGAATCGAAACCAGGACTTCATGCATACAAGAAAAGCAGTCCACAATCTGAGCTACACCCAGCCCCTTCTTAACATGTCCTTTAAGAAATGGCTTATTCGGTGATGAAAAGATGGCTCAACAGTTAAGAGTGTTCCTAGTGCCCACGCCGGGTGGCTCACAACCACCTGTCACTACAGCTCCAGTGGTACCCCTGGCACCTGTGTTCATTATGTCCATACACCCCCACACAGACACACACATAATGAAAAATACAAATTTAATTTGTGGTATGTGCTTATGATGAGTGT